ATATATTATATATATATATATATATATATATATATATATATATATATATATATATATATATATATATATATATATATATTGCTGTGGTTGAAAACATTGTAATTAGATTAATTGACGTTGTTATTGGAACAGTCCATAGAAAAGGGAGGGAATAATAATAAATAAATAAAATGGCAGAAAAAATGATGATAGTAAAAATAATATTTTACATTATTACATCAAGATGTCAATCACAATATCAATCAGGTGGGTGCTTGTCGGCTTTCCCAGAAGTCCATCGTGCAGGAAGCAAACGTAAGGCTGCACTTCTTGACCTGCCACCAACATCAGCAAGTTTTCCCTTACACCATTTAATGAGGAGAAAAATAGCTGCTCGCTGAACGAGACATTTCACCCAGACATGTTCCCAAACAATATGCATGATCATAAATTTGATAGCTGCACTGATGTGTGCAAATTGGCTTTACCTGTTCTTATTGATAGGCACACTGGATGGTGTGGACTTGTTTATGCTGTGCATTGATTGCTTCGTGGCTCATGGATTATGGTTCACGTGATGCTATATGGGTCACTAAAGAGATCCAACATGGAATTGAAGAGGAACAGCAAGCAATCAATTTGAAGAAAGATAAATGTCTATACTCATTTCAAGTGCCAGAAGGTCTTGCAGTACCTGATGCTGCAGTGAGATTAAAATTAGGTTATTGGAAGAACCAGACATGATGACACTTAAGTGGGAGTTCAGCCCCATATTTCCAGTATTTGCATCTTATACCACTCTCATCTGCAAGTATCATATAGAAAAAGGAATCTGCTAAAAAATCTAAACAAGAAAAATGCTGGATATTTTTATGGTGATGATTAAAGTTTAGAACTAAGATAGTGTGGATGTTTGCTAGCATCTGCTCTAGGGTGGCACTTTCTGGTTTCCAAACTTACAGTGAACAACCAGCAAGTTTCATGTCTGTGAGTAGAGAAAGTTTGTGCAGTCTTTTTACTGGAAACAGTAGATCAGCATCACACTTCACCAACTTACCTTTTGACAAGAAGCTACCTGACGATGAATCTATATATATATATATATATGAAGTTTAAAGGATGAAATGATGACAGCTTGGTAGTTTACCTGCCCACTCAATAACTTTTCTATCTTTTGTTGAGAGAGTCTCTCTATCAAGATTGCTGAATGATCAAACTTCTTTTTGGTTTCTGAAGCTTATGAACAAGCTTTAGTGTTCACATCAAGCAGACATGCTGTGATCATAAAGACACAAAAGTAACCCATCAATCTTTAATTTTGGCTGCTAGCTTTTGAGAATTCGAGTCGCATTTGATGAAAGGACATGGTCTGACTGCTTCATTGTTTTATGAGAGAAGCAGCACAAGGGACAGAGGGTATGATGGTTCAGTGGCCTCCATTGTCCAACAGCACAACTGCACCCACTGTTACCTTGACATGAAGTCCTTGAGCAAACGGAGTCTGGGCAAGCACAAGGAGGATGCATGCAATCTTTGTGCTCAGAACCGGCTCTCATCAGTCTCTCAGAACCCCACAGGCAGCTCTCATTCCATGGTTGAATAAGCCTGCAAGAAAGGCCAAGACTTGCACTGTGCATGAGGATGGTAATCCATGTCAGAGGGACTCAGTGGATGGTCTTCGTCGACACATCCACTCATCAAACGTAAAGGGGAGAACATGAAAAGAAAATTCACTGGGGGAGCGTGTGACCGTATGGCCACAAATAGAAGTTTGCTTCAGCTCACAAGTACTCATGGAGGACGAGAACAAACCCAAATAAGGATACACATGAACAGGCTTCCATCAGCTTCGCATATGCGTGAGAATAATGGGAGTATGGGAGGAGGAGGAGGTGAGCAGGCGGTGATTTGAAGTTTCATCATGAAGGGAAGACGAACACACATCCATACATAAATTGCACACGCATTTGATCCATCGAAAGGACTGCCGGAGTTCGGAGCACAGAAACTTCATCTACTCGTTCAATTACACCGTGGGAGATCGATCATGCAGTAAAAGATCACCGAGTCGGAAATCATTCACACGGATGAAACTGGGATTACCTCCTCTTTCACCTCGTTATTTATCTTTCTTACCGGGCTTACCAAGCACAAAAACCAGAACTGCGAATGCATCCTCCTTTACATGAAACATCACATGGCCAAGGAAAAAGAAAGCAGCAGAAAGATCTCCATGCATACGCTTCTCAATTTGGTCTCTCTTTGTGACTTCCCACAGCTTTATTGAACCGCAGCTTAAGCCTCCGTCATAGAGCAACCGATGCAGTTCAAGAAAGCTGTGGAAAACTACAAAGAGGATCATTTACAGACTTCACATACACGGACCTCCCCACACACACACACAGTGAAGAAGAAGAAGAAGATAGAAGAGAGGAAACATGAGAAGGGGAGAGGGAAGGGGGGAGGCTATTTATAGAGTGGAGACAGGGGAAGAAGGGTTCATGGGATTGGGTGCAAATGAAGGTCCCAATCCCGAGAAGAATAATAGGCACGAACACAACACTCCATTCTTACCCTCCATTTCCTCTTCTTCACAAGGAAAAAAGAAGAGACGCAAACAGCACAGCAATGACACATCCAACATGAAGGTTTAGTAGAAAGCTGAGGAAGACTTTTGAGGGCCATCAACTCGCAATTGTTAATCCAATAAAAGTGATGTCCTTCTTTAACGTGACACGCAGCATATAAAAATGCGTAGGTTTTGGGTTGGTTGAGATAGTGGCCAAGAGGTGGCCGGACTTATTAATCCCATAAATTCTCATTTAAGCCCTAAAAGGACGAAGTCACAGCCAAGCATGTTTGCTCCAGCCAGGCATGTCGGTAAAGATACGCTGTCTCTAACCCAACCATGAGATCCATACATCATGAACACCATTATTCACTACCAAACATCTTAAAATACATACTACGTTTGTGTTCATCCAACTTTGTTTCACCTTTTTCTTCTTATTTTTATTTGTATAAGAGTTAAATAGGAAACCTAAAAAAAATAATCCATCAAAAATTACAGTTTACTCTTATTTATCAATCAATATATATTTTCTAATAATCTAATAATTAAGTTTGATTTTATGATTTATGGAAATTGATGACTCCATCTATCTATGTTTATACAATGATTTAATCCTATTCTTTAAAGGGCCTTAAAATGCATGCCAATTTGGTTCCCACTTATAATGACACCAAAAAATATAGACAAATTGTCCATATTTATCTATCAGAAAATTTCTAATCATGAAACAAAAATAACCTAAATTTTAATATTAACTACAATTAAAAAAAGTTTCAATTTCAAAGTAAATGGACTGAGTAATTAATGAAGGCAGTAATTAGTCATGCAAGTATTACCATGTCCACTTGATGATTAAATGCTTCCATGGCATGCCCTTCCACAAAGGAAAGAGACAAACATGGATTCCATCTCTCTCTCTCTCTCTCCCTCTCTCTCTCTCTCTGTGTGGTGGTGGGGAGCTACGGAATTAGTGCGCGGCGGGAATCGGACGGTGTCAGTGCCCGGTGTTCCACCCTTCCCCGCCATGGGGAACGTAGCACCACCACCTCGGAAGACAGTGAGAAGCCCATGGAAGACGGTGATGTCTCCCGTAAGCAGCCGGAACGGGCGGTATCGGTGGGCCGCGAGGGGGACAGCCATGTGACGGCAGACGCACCCCCTCCACTTACCCTGTGTTGATCTCTTCACCTCCCACCCCACTTAACGTTAGCCCTCGCCACACGTGCACGCATGTGCAGGGCGGTACACCGTGTGTTTCCAACATACACTATTTTATTTCCATGTATTTTTGGACGCATTATTAATTATACTCATAATTAATTATCCTTAATATTTCAATCCTTATATTTTAAAATTATATTAAAATCTTATATTTAAAAAAAAAAAAATAGTTAACCTTCCTCCGACAAAACTCATCTTTTCTTTTTTTATTTTTAACCATATAAAATCTTGATATTTAATTTTGATAAATATATAGATCCTAATATTATTTTTAAAAATATAAAAATTATTAATACTGAATGAGACTAATTACATGAGATAATATATATTCTTTTTTATCGTACCCTTTAATTGAATTCTCATAAAAAAAATTAAGTTATTCAAATACGGAGAGATTTGCATGTATAATACTTGTTATTAGGTAGTCGAATTGACTCAATTGAACATAGTTAGTAGGGTTCGAGTTTAGATAAAATTAGTGAGCACCTTATTCATCATTAGTCGATTCGATTCGGCTCAACCCAACATGGATGATGAGCCCATAAAGCTAATATGACTTCCAATAGCACCGGTTCGATTTGGATCGGTTTAAAGATGATTCGCCGGTTTGGGTTCGAACCGTTGTCTTCCTGAGTCAATTGTTGTGGGTTGGGCCTCCGATCTCCTTCGACTGACAGTCAAAGAAGCGTTCTGGCTGAACCCATTTAAGCTCAATTGTGGTCTAATGTTAATAAAAACTGGACCATATTTGACTGTGGATCGTCTCAACTTTAACCTCAAATGCAATGATAAAAAATATGTTGGCATGATATTAGCAAATAATCATGCTGATGTTAGAAATAATTTCATGACATTTGGATCCTCGGTAATAGTCATGATTATTTGCTAATATTCATCAAATTAGGAAGTTTAGGCTAAAATTTTCTAGTATTTAGGAATTTATTTTCTGTTTTGGAGATTTGTCTTGATCTTTTCTTGATTCTTAATGCATATAAACCAAGGTATATTTAAGTATACATACAAATAATTAGTTTGTGCTCATGGATCCAAATGCTATTGACTCCAAAAAGACTAATAGTTCTTTACACAACAAATATTAGCTTTACTCATGGTTCCAACATCGTTATGGATAATGACTTATAGGCCAATAATATGATCCATGGAAAGGTTCTCTTCATATCCAAATGACAATTAGATAAGGGCAAATCTTATCCATTCCCAACTTGACATGTGGATGCCACTGTAGCACAAAATGATGATATTGGTTGTCAAATCTGTCTCCCCTCTCTCTAGACTCTCATATTAGTGGTCATGTCGGATCGAAACGCAACATATTGACTGTTCAGCTCTCATTAGATAGTTTGACTCCTTGATACATTTGTGTTAGATCAATATGCTTTCCCTTTAGGCTCGGACCTCGTCGAGTCATCCCAACACTTTGGAGATAGCATCTAGCAATACAAAATTGATGGGAATTTATCACATCAAAAGATCATGCAACAGAGCCAAGTTTTTCTTCTTGCGTTTGAGATCTGTCTATGTTGGTGAGAACAGTGAGAGTCGTATAATTCAAGACTCCCGTGAGCATCCACTGTTGAAAGATCATGCAATCTTATCTATATTTTGGCACGTAGTAATAATGCTCCAATAATCGGAGACAAACACTGAGATCTATATCTCTGCTTGCATCCACATATTGGCTATGGTAGCATCTCCTTTCATTCTTTATCTCATCGATCCGTGTCTCCTAATCATCCATGAACAAACAACGTGCATTCTTTCTTTACTGTCGATTGTTCTTGACGGTCTGTGGTAGCATCGTCTACCACGACTTAAGTCGTGAGTTTAGTGTTGGCTGTTTTTTGATGCGCGGCGACACCGTCGGCCGCGACTTACACTGCGAGTTAAGAAGAGAACGAAAAAGCTCTTTATACGTAGACACGAGAAGTTGTATCAGACATGCATGCATGGGAACTCAGTGTACAGCAGGAACACACAGCTTTACGTTCATTTCACACCACAAGTACACTAGACAAAGAACATCGTAGTAAGCTTATTAAGCTTTCACTTCAGGCTGTCCGTAGAATTATTCTCTTTCCGAGATCCAAATAACCTGCAACAAAAACGATTAGGGGAGATCTTACATTGTAATTGTTCAACAAGGAAGACGAGATTAAGAAGAAGATACCATTTGGAGTCTAAGCAGGGCATTGATAACCGGGAGGAAGGCTCTTCCCGCACCCAATAAGCAACTCCAACGCAACGGGCAGTACAAGATTGAGGTTGAGCAACTTCGCCTTGATGGTGGTGCAGAGGCACAGAGCGGCGTCGAGATCTGCAAGGCCTTGCAGCACCGGGCAGCACGTCGACTTGGCGTCCGCCCCGATCCGAATGGGTATCATGCCGCTGATCAGGTCGACGCAGGCTCCCAGCTTCAGCGTGTCCGCCGGGCATGTCTCCTTGGGCGGCGGCGGCGGCGGCGGCGGGCACGGCTGGGGTGGGTACACCACCGGAGGTGGCTTGGGTGGCCCGACAACAGGCGGAACGGGCGGGTACACCACCGGAGGAGGCTTGGGTGGCCCGACAACGGGCGGAACGGGCGGGTACACCACCGGAGGAGGCTTGGGTGGACCGACAACAGGCGGCACGGGGGGGTACACCACCGGAGGAGGCTTGGGTGGACCGACAACGGGCGGCACAGGCGGAGGCTTCACATAGGGAGGAGGTTGGGGAACAACTACAGGTGGGAGTGGTGGTGGGACAACCGGAGGAGGTTTAGGAGGGCCAACTACTGGTGGCTTTGGAGGGTGAGGTTTGGGCTTAGGGTAGGGTTTCACCTTGGGAGGGTGCTTCGGGTGGTGCTTAGGGTGTGGGATGGAGGGAGTGGGATATGGACATTTGGGACACGCATGGGAGGAATGCAGGAGTGTGAAGATGAGGAGGAAGAGGGTGGCTGCAATGAGCCTCCCCATGATGGGAAGAAGAGCAGAGAATAAATCAAGGACTGAAGGAGAGAGAGGTGGGCGCAGAGCTTGAAGGTGGGTTGGGTGTATTTTATAGAGGCCTCAGGAGGGTAGGGTTTGTGACCATCATGAGGAGGAAGAAGCTCTAGAGCTTGGATATGGTCCTTGTCATGTACATGATATAGTTATAAGGTAAAACCATACTAGGTAAAATTCCATATGCATCCCTTATATACATGATATAGTTTCTAAGGTAGCCATTAAATTCAAATTATCAAATAAATCAACTTGGAAAAGAGTAGAAATTGAACAAGAATAATTATTGAACTTATGAGCATCACTGCTCTCGCTTAAACTGCAATGGCATGGAAGCACCTGTAAGTTTGGTGCCAAGTGTATATGCGGGATATCTATCCTCTTTCGCCTTGGAAGTCGCGAAGGACTTGCAGGTTTCGGTCTAAGTTTGAGAGGAAGTAATGAACAGTGCTAAATCTGTGATAAGAAAACAACGCAGAATAAAGCCATGAAGAATAGTTTCTGCGTCGGAGATTACGGTTAAGTGTAACAACGAACAGTGCAAGCCACCGTCCACACAGCAGAATGAAGTGTGACGCAGAATGCTTCTGCAAGGCGAACAGTAGGTGGCAGTACGAGTTTGGAAGTAGGTGCATGGCCTCGAGGGTGAGGGAAGCCGCCATGATTCCAAGAACAGTTGCTTCCTGTCGCGTCACCAGTAGGGTTCGTACGTGCAACCCGTGACTCCTGCACGAAAAGAAGAGCTTCACTTGGGTTGTTCTCCTTCGTCAGGTGAGACACCGCAGTACCATCACCCTTGGCCTGATTCAGCTCAACTCCATGGCGATGGTAAATGTAAGGAGTACAGTGAGGGGGAAGGACACGGAAAAGCCGAGACTCCTCTCGTCAGCGGGGGCACACCGCACACGTCCACAGTGAGCAGCTCAATCATGAAGGCCTTCCGAGGGTTCCAGCTATTGTGGGATGAACGTTTTCTTTGAGCAAAACAGCTGAGCAAAACTATTGAATGGTTTTATTGCCAACGCATTCGTTCACATCACTGCTTTTTGTCAGCTTGGCCGGTAACTCAGTCATGCAGCAACGTATCAGTGACACTGCAAACGTGAGGGGATTAAAACTAATGCGTAGAGGAATGTAAACAGGAAAAATATAACCAGCAGCTTTTCTCCATATATCAAAATCATATTCTTCAATGGGACAGAGAGGGGATTATATTATTTTATTTGAAGAAAAGTATGAGAATTTTTCACGTTAAAGATCCAAAATGACAAATAAAGGAACCATTAAAGTACCATTTTCTTCTTTCAGTAGTGAAAGTATATGAAAGAATGATACAGTATTAACCACCAGATTTTCTGAAATATATGGAGAATATTTTTTCGAAAAGTACAACAAATCAAGAATTAAATTGTTTCTGATGTGATGTTTCTCTCTCTCTCTCTCTCTCTCTCTCTCTCTCTCTCTCTCTCTATTTTCTTGATAGAGTCGACCCATCCTTCACTTCCATCATGGTGTCATGTGATTCAGCCAAAAGAAAAACGAAAACTAAAGGCCTTTTAATGATGTCTTAGTCTTCCCTATCCATCACCATTATCAGTGTTTATGTCATCCTTGTCTCACCTTGTTGGTTCCATGATCATGTCCCTCATTATCAGTATCATCCTTGTCCCACCTTGTTGCCAAAAATCTAAGTTGCATGGTTCTTGTGTAGTTAATGATATATCGATAAATTAATGCACTAATATTACATGCACAATAATTGCAACTTTAATTTTAAGTGAAAACTACAGTCATTCATGTAACCTTTGTCCATTTTTTCTAACACAAAGTGCATCTGTTGTAAGATTTTGGCGAGTGATAATTGATAAAGCATAGGATTTCCCCACATGAACACAACCTCCGACCATATCAGCGTAAGCACGGAACCTCCGGAGAAAGACGTGACGCCACGTCGGATGCGTCATTGGGAATTTGAGACGATGGCCGCTCCTCTCCCGCGTCATCTGGGGCCACACGACCCGACGCCATCCCGACAAGGATTGTTCCGGGAAGCTTGGGATGGCGTCGTTCCATACATACCAGACGACGATCGTTCGAATGTACAAATTTGTTATCCAGCGAGTCGGTCGTCGCGCGAAAATCGTGTACGACCGGCCCTCAAGCACCAAAATAAAATCTAGTGTACGGGGGCAGAGGATTTTTCATAAAGTTCTACTGACTTAATCCTTGGAGAGGCCTAAGTCGGGATACCCCTCCCACCCCGACCTACGCCAGTGTGTAGGGATCCGACGATAACAAGAGTGAGCGTACTCGTTGCAGAAGTGCAACTCGACCGATCCTGAGTTCAACCAGACCCGACGAAGATATCATCCCAGAGACATCTTGGACATTGGTAATCAGAGCAAGCCGTACAAACTCTTCGGCCACGGTGTAAGATTTACAAACAATAATTAAGAGAAATAATCAAGATACTACATGTTATTTTGTCCCTAAAACTTGGAATTTATCTTTTTTGTTCTCAATAGTCCTAAAAAAATAATAATTATAGGTCTTATACGCATTTGGTATATTGCATAAACTTCATAAGCATGAACAAATATCTTTTTAATTAGTGTCAAAACATTGTTTCTTGACTATTACCAAAGTTACTGATGTAGTTAGAAACACATTTTGTTCAAAACCTAACGAGAGCAGTGATGACAAAAGATGTCATCAAAACCCAACGTTGATGTGTCTACCATCAATACATCACTACGTGATAAGGCATACTTTTCCCCCAGGATATGTCACAACCAATGCCACATGCCACGTTAGAATCCGTGCTCCCAAGACACTATTAGACACGTCTGATCCTAGTAATCCCGGGACGACAATGCCCTGCACGTCGAGCCAGAATCCGTACTGATACTGTGCTGTGCCCACCACGCCAACCCGTGTACGACCAACCCTCTTACAACAGTATAAAAACCTCGATCCCGGCCTCTAGTGGGGGGCAAGAGAAAAACAACAAAACCTACTACTAACTTGCTCGTCGGAGGGACCAAAGTCGGGATCACCCGACGAAGATCGTTTTTGCAGGAAAGCAACCCAACCTCAGAATTCGAGGACCGGTGTCCCCGCGATGCGCCATCGAGCTATCTCGGACTGGAGAACGCCGATCAAGGCCCCCGTCACGAGGACCCGATCGATCCTGAAGCTAGCTTAGCCGACAGAAGACTTCCAACATCGACCCGTGGACCAAGTTGTGGTGATTCATCAGCCACTAGGTACTATGTTCCTTGTGATTATTCAGATTCAAATACGATAAAATTCCGAAATAAACCTTTATGTCATCGTTACTATCCGTAAATAATCAAATCGTGAATGCTAGAGTGTAATAATCTCTTTGAAAAGACATTACGGTGGTTGACGTTCAATCAGTGACTTTTGGAACCCATCGAGGAAGTGTTGCTGACTGAGTTGTGGAGCTTCTTCGACTGTTCTCCCTCATCAAGTGAGGAGTGCTCCCCATGTGGAATGAATGTTACGTGTAAAGGAAAGGCGACCCCTCCAGAAAAGGTGTGTCGGCAAGGCAAACTTCCAAACCACATGTGAACTCATCCAAACGCGTCTTGATCGATTCGGCGCAGCTCAAAGAGACGGAGACGCGAGGATAGGGAGGGTGCGAGAAAGGAGATGGGAGATAGGAGATGGGAAAGATTGGTGCAAAGATAAAAAAGTATACCTAAAAGGCTGTCTTCAGTCACGCAGAAGTCTTGGGAGCAGAAACTATTAGCTGAAAGGAATTTAATTAAGAAAAATAAATAAATAATTGATGAATTCTTAGAAA